TTGAAGTTAGAATTTTCTTAGCTGTAAATTGAATAAAGTGTGTTTTATTAAAATTAAGGGATAAGTAATTTGTTATGAACCATTTGTTTAAAATTTCAAAAGTATTTTGCATAACATTATTAAGATCGGTTATATTGGGCTGAACGAATAAGATACTCGTGTCGTCTGCAAAGAGTACAGGTAAAGAAGTTTTATTTATTACATTGGGTAAATCGTTTATATATATAAGAAAAAGCAAAGGTCCTAGTACACTCCCCTGTGGGACACCGTTTTTTATTGTCTTCCATTCAGAGACAAAGTTGTTACTGTCTTTGTGAACGAGTGTTCTAATATACCTATTCTCCAGGTAGGATTGATATAGTGTATAGTTTATGCCATTTATTCCGTAAAATTTCAATTTGGACAACAAAATCTTATGATTTACACAGTCAAAGGCCTTTTCTAGATCACAGAGGATCCCTCCCACATATAATTTATTATTCATAGCATTTAAAATTTCAGAGGTAACTTTATAGATCGCATCTTCTGTTTTCAAACCCTTTCTGAATCCATATTGACTGTTACTTAGTATATTATATTTAGTTAGATGATTTAAAATTCTTATGTGCATAATTGTTTCAAAAATCTTTGAAAATGAAGTTAGGAGAGATATAGGTCTATAGTTTGACATATCACTACAGTCCCCTTTCTTGTGTAGAGGAATTACTGTTGCATATTTTAATCTATCAGGGAAAACACCTTGAGATAGCATTTTATTACATATGTAGTTTATTGGTGAACTTATAAAAGGGGCACTGAGTTTCAGAATTTTTGTAGATATTTCATCATATCCAAATGAATTTTTTAATTTTAAAGATTTGATAATTTGCTCAATTTCTTTTACTGTCGAGACTTTATTTCCCATATTAGGGTATGTGTTATCAAACGCCTGCTTAATAAAATGTATATGATTTCCCCCATCATTATTAAATCTATTTAATTGAGAATTATCTACATATTTTCTAATTTTGTCAGCAATCGTAGCAAAATGCTCATTAAAGGTAAAGTTCTTCAGTTTCTTCTCCCCTCCAGATGTATTTGATGACCTCCCAAAATAACTGGAATGAAATGACATTCATGCTAGGGTGAGAAGTGCCTTGACAACTGTAATTTGGAAAGACAAGTGAGATTCATATGTATTGATGAGTACATGCAAAATCAGCCATAGTAGGCAGTTTGTGAGATGAACCTGGGAAAGTTCAAACATGCTAGTTTTGAAGAATACAAGCGGCACATGGCCTGTATGGAAGAATGGAACAGAATGACTAATAGCTATTCAGTTAGCTAGAGAAAATGAAAGTGCACAAAACAGTTAAGTTTTCTCATCTGTTGGTTCTAACTGATATATTGAATAGGTTCATCATTCTATCCCAGGCATGTACACCTTCAAACAGGTTGTGATCGACTTTTCAGTGTCAAAACTGCCAGTGATATACCACCCCCTCCTATTGTCGTACCTCGCTTTAAGACAAAATATTGATAAAAATAACACGACGCACAAGTGTAAAGAAATTTCCACATAAGCTACATCATCATCATCATCAGTAATCTGTCAAGACGACAGGTCCACAGTCTCTTCCAAAACAATTCCTCCACTTAATGCGATCTAGTGCTTTCTCCTTCAAATGACAGTATCCTCTTCTGTCCCCAAGGTCATCCAGCATCTTACGTCTTCTTCCTCGTCTTCTTGTCACTTCTATCCGCCCCTCTATCTTTCCTTCAATAACTTTTAGAAGGCAGTTTCTGCGTAAAACATGACCAATCCAATTAGCCTTCCGTTTTCTTATTTCATGTAGGATATTCCTCTGCTCACTGACTCTAATTAACACTTCTTCATTTCTCACATAATCGGTCCAACTGATCTTCTCCATTCTTCTCCAACACCACATTTCGAAACTTTCCAGATGTTTCTGATCTACTGCCCTAAGTGTCCATGTTTCAGCCCCATACAGAGCTATGCTCCAAATGTAGCATTTCACTAGTTTCTTCCTCAAATTTAAGTCCAATTTGCTGGTAAAAAGATTCTTCTTCTTGCTAAATGCAGCTTTTGCCATGGCAATCCTGGATTTAATTTCACAAGTACACCTTCCATCATCTGTTAACAAGCTACCCAAATATTTAAAACATTTCACATTCTCCACTTGTTTTTGGTCTATCTTTATTGTGACTGGGGTTGGTTGTCTCGAAATTTTCATTACTTTTGTTTTCTCCACATTCATTTCCATGCCATAGCACCTTCCAATTTCAATTAGTCTATCAATCATGCCCTGTAGCACAGTTTCTTCCTTAGCCATTAACACAAGGTCATCTGCATATTTCACAGTTTGAATAATTTGCCCTCCTACTTTGAAGTCACCGAGCCCATCCAGAGCTTCCTTGGTAAGGCATTCGCTGTACAAGTTGAACAGAATTGGTGATAAACAGCATCCTTGTCGAACTCCTCTTCCAATCTGCACACTTCCTGTCTCCCCCCTGTCCAGTCGTACTCTAACTTTCTGATCCATGTACAATTTGCTAATCAATCTTCTTTCATGCCAATCGATACCTGTTTCTTTCAGGATCTGCATTAATTTGGTCCAGTTTACCCGGTCAAATGCCTTCTGCCAGTCTATGAAGCAAACACACAGTTCTTCATCTATCTCCAAAGTTCGTTCCGCTATAATTCTCATCATCCCAATTGCATCCCTGGTTCCTTTTCCTCTTCTAAATCCAAACTGATCTTCTCCAAGTACATCCTCTATTTTCCTTTCAATTCTTCTTTTAAGTATCTTTGCTATTATCTTTGCTGTATGTGCAATAAGACTTATTGTGCGATGGTCGCTGCATTTTGTAGCTTTTGTCTTTTTCTTTAAGGCAATCATTGTAACTTCTGTAAAGTCCTTGGGCCACTCTCCACTTTCATATATGGTGTTCATTAGTTTTGTCAGTGTTTTCAAACCACCTTCTCCCAGTAACTTGAGCACATCTCCAGGTACATCATCATCTCCTGTAGCCTTTCCCTTCCTCATTTCCTTGATAGCTTTTTCCACCTCACTTTGTAAAATATATGGTCCTTTCTCGTCTGTATCTACTTCTTCTTCCGGTTCAACTTCTAAGGTTTCTGGCCGATTAGGTCGATCATATAGTTCTGAAATATAATTTTCCCAAATTTTCAGCACTTGCCTCTGATCTACTATTCTATTCCCCTGGGAGTCTTCGATGCCAACATTTTGAATCCCATGATTCTCTTTCCATCCTAGTTCTTTTGTCTTCATGTACATCAAATCATAACGTCCTGTTCTTTGAAATTCCATAATCTCATTACATATCTTCTCAAGATATTCCTTTTTGGCCCTGTCCGTGGCTCTTTTCAATTCATTCCTCAGTCTCCTGTATTTCCTCCTGCCTTCTTCATTGTTGACATTCTTCCATTTCCTTCGCTCCTCCATTTTACTCATCATCTCCTGTGTAACCCATGGTTTTCTTGCTATCTTCTCAACTTTACCTACCAAATCACTGATAGTATCTAACATGCATTCTTTTATATTGTTCCACTGCACTTCAGCATTTCCGCTTTCACCTTCAATTGCACCGAGTTTCTCTTCTAGGGTCTCTTGCACGCTTTGTCTTTGAGCATATAACTTCTCCAAATCCCATCTGGGTCTGCGCTTTCGAAATCCTATAATTTTCTTCAACCTGGTTCGGAACTTGGCAACCAATAAGTTGTGGTCAGAGTCAATATCTGCCCCAGGAAGCGTCTTCACATCCTTCACACTGTTTCTGAATCGATGTTTCACAAGGATGTAGTCCAGCTGATGCCTCCTCCAATCCCCAGGTGCCTTCCATGTGTAAATTCTTCTCTTTGGCTTCTTGAACCAAGTGTTGGTGACAATCAGTCCATTTCGTTCACAAAAGTCAATAAGCATTTGACCCCTGTGATTCCGTCTTCCTAGTCCATGTGATCCAACAATATTCTGATGTGGTTCATCTCCAACAATGCTATTCCAGTCTCCCAATATGCTGCTGTTTGTGTCACCTCTTCCATCTTCCTGAAGAATTTCTTCAGTTGTGTCATACACTTTTTCCACTTCATCATCTTCATACTCCGATGGTGGCATGTACACTTGCATAATCAGTATATCTACCGGTTCCGCCTTTAACTTCAGAGCAATAATTCTATCATTACAAACAATCTTCTTAACAACACTCCTCACTACATTTTTATGCACCACTATTGCCACACCTCTTTCAGCCCGATAAGCTACATAAGAACAGAAAAATAGGTATGACTAATACGTATTTTCCCTTCATAATTTGAATATGGTCATATTATATTACATGTGAATTTACTTGCTTTTCACATATAATTTCCTTAAAGGCCTATGAGATTGACTAAAAATTGTCCCGCGATCGACGTGTTGGACATGCGTGTTCTATCCTGTGCCAGCGAAACAGATTGCCTGCAATTGTGCCTTCCTTAAGTTCAGAACTTGTTAGAAATGAGTACAAGGGAGCCTCATCCTCAACACACAACAACAGACAAGCAAACAAATGAATGCATATGCGCACACGCACACACACACACCTGCCAACTGTAGGGTTGTGTTTGTGATGTGTATTCAGCCTAGAAGAAAAAAAAGGCTATTAAATTTCAGTGCTTGAAGTGCAAAGCTGGTCTGTGTATAGAGACATGTTCTGTAATTTACCTTGTGAACGTAAATTTCTAAATCAGAGTTCTATCACAAATTGAGGAAGAAACCATTTCCAGAAGTGTCTTATACATTGGATTTATATACAAAGTACATGAAGTAATTCTGGGGATTTAGGGGATTGTATCTTCTTAAACATTTGCCTCCCTATCCTCTGCCCAGGACCAGTTACTTGGCCTTGGAGATTACCAAATTTGAGGCACAATATCTTTTGAAAATGCTGTGTTTATATACTGGGCAGGTGGCCAGTTTAGATAAACTCAAACAGTGGATCACTGCAGTTGTGATAACAATAATTTCAGAGGTTATCAGCTAAGTGTCTGTCCCACTGTGAAAGGAACTTTCAGAGTTAAACTTAATTCTAGTGAATTTCTTCCTTCTCTTTGGTAATTAAGAAAATATAAGCTTGTAAAACCCTGGAATGACTTTCTGGACACACTGTATATAGTTTTATTTCAGGAATCTGTTATTTTTTTAAACAATTTTGTGTATGGTAAAAATAACACTAAGTAGAATTTAGAACATTTTTTTCTTTCAGTACTTTTTACTAGACCATTTTAGCAGGAATAGATCCAGAGATATGTAATTTGTTTCAGTAGTAATACCATGATTAGTTTAAGCCCTGTAGTTAAAATCTGGCTGTTAGGCTGGTAGTAGGGGGCAGTTAAATCCCCTGTTCTTGCCTGCTAAAGGTTGACTGTATAGAACATTAGAAGTAAGTGTTCACAGTTAGATGTACTTGTAAAACAGTTAACTGTTTGTTTTAGGTTATGTGATCCAATTGACGTTTTGGAGAAGAATGATGTGTCAAATCTGTATGAAAGCTTAGCAGGGAATTTTGCAGGAGTAGCACAGTATAATGGTGACAATCGCCAGTTTGAAGGGGTAACCTCCAGCTTGACACTTGATTCAATATGTGCTATTATGGTTAATGAAAGCCTTGGTACACCTGTGAAACGGTATTCATTGGTGAATGAGAAGATTCTTGATCAATACAGTAAGACGTGTCTAGACTACAAATATGATAAAATGGTTACTGACTTGGGTCAGACAGACTGGCGCTGTGAAGCTGCTGAGAATGGAGGTAACATTTTATTCACTCACTGCATTGATTTTCTGATGGCAGTACTTTTATCTGATAGGCAGAAGAGTCGGTGCTTGCATTTGTTTAATTCATGTTCCAGCTCACATAATATACAGATTCTACAGAATATGTATCAGTTCCTTGATATCTTAGTTAATTCATCATGGGTTCCTTCAGTTTCTGTTTTGTTCTTCACTTTGTTCTTTCTCTGCCTAATTTTTCTTTCCTTTACAATGTACACCAGATGGTCCCAGGATCAATTTCGGTCTGGAGACTGACTCTCGTGAATGAATTTTTCTTTTAATGTTTCTTCAGTTCCTTCATACATAGTGTCACGTGTTTGGAATCTGGAAGGGTTATTTCCATGGGAACGCAATAACAGACCGTTGCGTAAGAAGTAACAATAGCAGTATTGTAATTCTAAAAGTGAGTCTCCACAGTTACAATGAGGGTTCATTGCATAGCAGTGGCCAAAGTCATAAAAAGGGTTGAAGACATTCGCCAAGCTAGTCGAAACCTAGCCGTCACACGATATGTTTGAAGTCTTGGGATAGTTGGGATCCAGCCACAGCCAGAGACATTTGGAAGATAGCTGCAGCAGAATGCAGTTCAAGTGACACTAATTGCACTTGAGCGTGTAAGAGTGAGTGTTCAATAAATATCCGCTAAATCCGAGACCCAAGCGAAATTATTTGTCGTGCTGCATACCCAACACGTGACAATATACTGGGAAATTACTACAAAATGTGGTGCAGATGCTTGCTTTCACATTCTTTTTAACTCACAATTCACACAGTCATGCTGGCTTTCAGTGGTACATAATTTTTGCAGTTGATGAAACGTAATTAAATAGCACAAGATTAGATGAAAATTCAATAAGACTGGGACCTAGAATAAACAGAAAATTGTCTTAGCAAGCTTCCAGTAAATTTTCCACAATTATTAGGACCACAGAAGATGAAACTGGAACACTTCATGTGATTTGTCTGCCACAATAAATTTTGTCATTCCGGGCACAGTGACATTGTGCTCAAAGTTTCAACATTTGTGTGCCATGTACTGCTTGAAATTTCAATTTCCACAGAAGTCTGTCAGTATATACCTCCTTATCTGACATGCTAATACTTTAAATCTTCATGCTCGATGGTCTAAAAGTAGTTAACCTTTGAATGAATGATCATGTCGTGGGCACTCATTACTTCAGAAACATCACAAAATAATTTCACGTACTTTATTTTCTCACACTGGTTTCATACAGTGAACAATTAGACCAATGGTCTGATAGTCTTGGTCTCTTATTAAATCTCATCCAAAGCAAAAATACCAAAAAATTTCCATTTTTATAACACAGATATCAGTTTGTCATCTGTAATTTGACCATGTTTCTGTTTTACTGGGATACTGGTTAATTTATATTATTATGTGCTTTACAGTGTGATTGTGATTTAAGTGTACAGTGTTCTGATATTTTATAGAGAATTAGTTTACTTATGCACCATTTCTGACAGTTAGTTTTCAAGCTGCGATGTGATACCACATAATTTAGAAGAGTTATGAAAAATCCAAAAAATCCCAGGATTTCTTTGAATTTACCAGGTTTATACCATATTTGTACAGATACATTGCGTTCTTTGAAATGTAAGTAATAGTGATTAATTCAGATTGGAGGTAAATTGAAATATGGGGCATGTAATGCGGAGATTCATGGTTAAGTAAGGTGCATTTTTTCTTCATTTTTAGGTCGGCAGTGGGTATACCAAACATGTACAGAGTTTGGCTTCTACCAGACTTCAAGTTTAACTGCCCAGATCTTTGGGGATCAATTCCCTTTGGACTTCTTTATGCAGCAGTGTTCTGACATTTATGGTCCAAGGTATGACACTCTTCGAACTGAAGACATCTGTTTGCACAGGTTGTTCCTTGAAGATGTGACACCATGCAGTCTTGTAGATACATGTGGCCACAATACACAGTTCCCTTGTCTCAGTGGTGAGCATTGTTCTCCTTGACACTCCATCAGTCAGGTTGCCAGTTGTATGCTTATTTGAAAGCTTTGGTAGATGTCTACTAGGTCACATGATGTCACATTCCAGAAGGCAGTAATCTTCAGTCACTGCTGTGAGAACATAAAATTTCACACATTGTTCCATGTCTTCAAATTTTGCCAAGAAAATGGCATCTGAGATGTGTGGTGTGGGGTTAAGGTGCTTGCCTCAGAAGTCAGAAGTCATATGCTTAATACTGTCTGCCTCATATTCACTCTTGAACCTTCTGAACAGGTGTTGTATATGCACATATATACACCTACAAGAAAACTCTCTGGAAAAATCTCTCCTTCAGATAATTTTGTACTGTATTGAAATGCCCACTGCTTCCTCAAGCTTGTTGGTATTTTATTAAACTACTGAAATATTATGCAGAAGTAATCATATCTTCAGTTCCCAGTTTACTTGAAACCTGCACATGAAAATGTGTAGTACCTTCAGAGATTGTAGCGCCTTTGGAAACAGGTCTCTGCTTGAACTCGAACTGCAAGTTTGGACCAGTAATATTTCACATAGACAAATAATTTTTTCCTTTCAGTTTGTCTGGTGCTGTTTTGACTTTTTTGCAGAAACTTTACATTTTTATCATTTACCAGTTTATTTAAAATAGAGGATATACTTGGAGAAGATCGCTTTGGATTTAGAAGAGGAAAAGGAACCAGGGATGCAATTGGGATGATGAGAATTATAGCAGAACGAACTTTGGAGATAGATGAAGAACTGTGTGTTTGCTTCACAGACTGGCAGAAGGCATTTGACCGGTTAAACTGGACCAAATTAATGCAGATCCTAAAGGAAACAGGTATCGATTGGCGTGAAAGAAGATTGATTAGCAAATTGTACATGGATCAGAAAGTTAGAGTACGACTGGTCAGAGGGGAGACAGGAAGCATGCAGATTGGAAGAGGAATTCGACAAGGATGCTGTTTATCACCAATTCTGTTCAACTTGTACAGCGAATGCCTTACCAAGGAAGCTCTGGATGGGCTCCGAGACTTCAAAGTAGAAGGGCAAATTATTCAAACTGTGAAATATGCAGATGACCTTGTGTTAATGGCTAAGGAAGAAACTGTGCTACAGGGCATGATTGATAGACTAATCGAAATTGGAAGGTGCTATGGCATGGAAATGAATGTGGAAAAAAC